ATTGATTGTGATAGCTATATTGAGTGACAAGGATAGGTAAAATGGGAATGAAGACATAAAAAGACAAGGGTAGTAAATATCATACACTAATTTGAAGACAACAGAAAGTAACGTCAGCGTAAAAAATTATTTTGTAATCCCGACAGCAAACGAGATCTTGGTCGATCTAGGAATAGACGGAGGAATCAAATAATTTAGCCTCAGAGTGGGCCGCTGGTTCAAACAGATGGGAAGAAGAAGTAGCAGCAGCTGTGGTGAATGAATATTTTAAGGAGGACTGATTTGGTAATTCACAAGTTAGCTGACTTTGGGCGTAAGTCTTATACGCACAACGGTGTATGGGTCTGTACACATACCGACATGAATAGTTTACAGTCAACCCAACTACACTCGTTATTTCTGATTGTTTAAACAATACAAACAGAATGAGGTTGAACTCCAAGCACACTTTACCTAATTTATGGCAGAGCCATACCCACGGAACAGAATATAATTATGCTCCATGACTCGCGTTTGGTTTTCGTTCTTAGGCGCTAGTATGAGTGAAGAATACTTTATGGACCGGTCCATACCTGTCTGTGAGGCATTTTTATACGAGGGAAGCTACCCGAAATCAGGGGTAATTGTTGAGAGACAATGGGAATCGTGTTCCAATTGTTGAGACACATGGTTCAAAAACCCCAGTCATTGTCGAAACTATTGCTCAATAATGACCTCGGACAATATTGTTGAGAAACAATGATCTCGGATGAAAAGTGCAATAATTAACTACGTGATGTGGAGTAAGGAGCCCAGTTTTTTAATTTTGTTTACAAACAGATGTACCGCCTGAGTGTTAAGTTGGCATGCTGCTGATTGGTGGAGCGAAAGAGCGATTAACACGGTCACCAAAACTCCTTCAATCTCCACTTTACCTCAATTACATTCTGTTCTCCCATTGGCTAGGAAGCAGCTCGCTCTTTCGCTCCACCAATAAGCACCGTTAAATCCAAATCGCATCCTAATGCTTGCTCTATTTAAGGCTTCCAAAAAGGGCCCTACAACTATAAATTAAACCTGAAGATGGCAACTATAATGCCTGGCGAAACGAAGTATGTTTTCTTTACGGTACGGAATCAATTCTTAAATATTATTTAGATGAGCTTCGGCTTAAAATGGTTAAACAAAATGAAGTATGATTATTTTACTTTGGTGGATTAAGTGTTACTATTTTATATATAAAGGTATTTATTATCATTTAAGCTGAAAAATCAATATTAGAATTACATAATTCAGTATTTTCGAGAATTAATTTAAACAAAAACGGAATTAAATATATTTATACTTTTAATGAATTAATTCAATCATAGTTCTCATTACAAATAGCTAATATGAATAAAAATACAGTGTTTTATCATAATAACATAACTCTAAGAGCTCGTGAAACACCACGCGCAGCCTATCATGAGCGTCGTAAAAAACACGGTAACCATATTACAAGTTCCTGTAACTGTGACCACATATAGGCTAGCCAAATGACTATAGAGCCACACCGAAAATCAGGTTTTACCGCATCCGTGGTTATTTCATAAAAATGAGATAACAATTAGAATCTGAGGAACAGCGTAAGTTTTTCACTGTGATCCTCTTCTACATGCCTTATCACAAATTTGCTTCTACAATACAGATAAGGCATAAAATACTCGTAGCACTAAAGGAATCGCTCCTACGTGCTGGCACATACAGACCCTTATTACACCAATAAAACGCGATATAAAATAGAGACAGGCTTTGTATAAGCCAACTTATAACTAAATTCTGGAATAAGTGTTCAGTGAATGCTAACTTACGACTTAATCCTGAATTCTTGTAGAATCCAATAATAGTACCTTCTGGGACCGAATATTATCGTATTATAAAGTCCACTCATCAGAAGAACAAAGTCTTCCATTTAACTAAATTTAAAACTAGATTCTTCTTACATGCTTTATTGAGCATTAAAATGTTTAAGTCTCGTTACTATTCGTATTTGGACGATTCCTGAGTAATATATCTGGTCTCTTCATTATAAAGGAGGGGGTAATGGTGCAACTGGTGTAGTTGTTCCACACAGACCTCATACTAAAAACACGTGCGTTCGACAAACGGTGTTTCATGTCGGATTTGTCGTTAACACAGTCAACCTCAGAAGCGTTTTTCGGAATTATCATACATGTATATTCATCTATTTCCCATAGGAAAACTTTAACGAAGACCACCAAACATGGACCAGATTTAAATTCGCCCAAGAAGCGTTAATGTATATTTCTAATACCGAATTTCATCTAAACTAATTAAGTGATTTTGAGGTGACACATGCGCACGGACAGAAAGACCGACACTGCATCTCCTATGGCCATTATTTATTTGATGTACTGTGTGCAAAATAATTTATGAACATTGCCAGGGGCGGAGCATTTATATTAACGGTGTTAGCCTGGCTATCACTTAGAAAACGCACGTAAAATGAGTTCTTACTGTTGTGATTCAGTGGTAAACCATATACTGGAATAAATAAATAAATACCGATCAGATGAAATACATCATTAGCCAGCTCCAGGCAGCCAGTTTTTGTTACATTAGCCGCGAGCGTCAACAACTATCTGGCCTACAACGCCGGGCTGGCGGCGTCTACCTAGCGATGCGTTGTATCTGTGTTCCAGCATATGGAGTTCCACTAAGTCACGAAAGTAGGACAGATCACTTTTCATTTTTCGTTTCTCAAAGTGTCACCCGGGCTAACATGGTTAACAAGATTAAAATACTTAAAATTATTCATTGTCAGGACTTTCTCCATCGTCTATTCTTTAAAACCACGACGTTTCGGAGGCTAGTTCTGTCTCCGTCTTCAGGTGAGAGGTACCTACTCTGTTGGGTCCCTTAGATAGAGCTAGTCTCCGTCACTGGACCACAGAACCAGCCTCCGAAACGTTGTGGTTTTAAAGAACAGACGATGGAAAAAGTCCTGACAATGAATAATTTTAAGTGTAAACTACCGTCGTCAAAACCCTTTAAAATTGAAGATTAAAATAATTTATACGTCCTTCAACATCATTGACACAGTCTAGAATCCTCAACTAACCGTCTTATCTCTGTCCACAGTAACTATGAGTTATGTATCGAAATTAAGGAAATGCTTATGGTTGCACATTCACTTAATACATTACACATCGGTGATCGGAGACAGGATGTCCATGTCGTATAATCCGGGTCACTGTTTGTACTAATGTTATCTTGTTTACAGTGTCAGACCCAAAATAGAGCTGTGTTGTAGGGACTCAGAGCATTTTGCTGAGAGCCTGGGATCTGCAGGAGATATTGTTTTATATCACCATGACAACGAGAGGAAAAGTCAGTGGACATGGCAAATTAACGTTAAAAGTTTCGTAAGTCTAGAAGACGTGAATGGTCAGTCTCATGTTAGGAGCAACAGAAGTTGTTACTGACGGCTGAATGTTTGGGTGGGGAAACTAACCAGCGGTTTGGAACTGACTAACCAACGATTAGTCTGGTACATGAAAAAGTTTCTTACTTCCATATCTAGATTTAACGTTTGATTCTGGAGATTATTTCTGATCCTTGTCACACATTATCTCTTTAAATCCGCATACATTAAAAAAAAAAACAAGCATCGTCCGCCAGTCGTAAATCCCAAAATGCATCGCGTTGTCTACCTCACACATCTCGCACAACGACCAGCCCACTGATATGATACTGATCTCTATTACAGGGTTTGGAATATATTAACGATTGACAGACTATTCTATTAATTTACTCATCCATTCGTTATGAATTCTGTCCAGACATTATAGTTTTATCGATTATCAAATGACTCACCGAGTCGCTTTCCGAGTTCTGTTAGTGTCCAGTTTAACTCATCGGTTCACTCATGACTCATTTACTTATGAGGATTGATTTATGAAATATAATTATTCTACACTGTAAATTAATTACTGAATGGCATTCTAGTTACTTAACTGATCTACTAACCAACTAAAATTGTGTGAATTGAGGCCGGATGGCTATACTCTCTCCATCTCCTGGGTCTACATAAAAAAGTAGCGATAAGTTTTTCGAAATTATGGTAACCACCTTCCAGACAAAGTGTGTTACAATTCAGAAGACCATAGAACTTCAGTGTCCTGAGATTTGAGGTTCTCATGATAGGAAGATGCTGATATTGGTCTTAGTTTCCGAGAAATATACGTTCTCCATATTTCTGTGGATGAAGCCGGTACATTTCACCGAAACTTTGGTATCTACACACAATTCAAACAGTACAGCCCACACTCGACACGAAGGTCTTATAGAAACCTTTAAATTTTCGTAAACCCTATGCATCGTGAAATAATTTATAGGGCGATATGTCATAAGATACGCAAATGACTAAGATCTAAAAGTTCTATTTGTAAAAAAAAGATATGGAGCATTCTGTTTGTGATAGGAGGAAAATAAGTGGCTACAGAGTCTAATGAAACAATACAATTTTACCTGATTTAATATAATTTAATCAGCAACGGACGAAAATCAAGTCCAATAGGGTATACAGAATCAGACTGAACGCATTTGGAGAATTTATCCACGTTTTTATATTCCTGAATTCGACAGGTGGTAAGGGCAAAAGTTGGAGAGTTGTGTGTAATCTTCCGTTACAGACTTTGTTGTAAGAGTCATTCGAATAAAAATATGGCACAAAATTTTGAACATCTGCTTAATAGCCGCTTCTCAACCATAAAGACGCGATCTTTGAAACTGCATTCATGTATCTGCAAGTGTAAGCGCTCATTCCATACGAAAAACTGGCGGTGGCTAATTTCCTAGCAAATATATAATTTATAAAGTATTAAGATGCTTACTAGAACCAAACCTCGTATTTACATAATAATATACTACAACATACAAAATAAATCCTTTGCGGTTGATGCCAGTCCGCGGACCATTACTATTCAGCGTTCTAAGACGCATATTTGTTTAACACTCACGTCAACGTTCGAATCGCGGATGTATATCTCCTTGACAGCCTCTGGCCCACGGTCCCGAGGTCGGTACTCGATGCGGTAACCAAGGAATTCGCCGTGAATGGTGTCGCGGTGCGGAGGGCGCCAGCTGATGTGCAGTGACGTGGCGCTGGTGTTCTGGGCCGTGGTGATGGTCGGTTTCCCGTCGGGCACTGCGGAAGAACAATAAATAATCAAACATATTAGGCTACTAACAACAAATAAATTTGTTACTGCAACGGAAGTCTATAAAAATTGTTATAAAGCTGTGAGTGTCAACGTAGATGTCTGTCTTCTGGGTTGTAGCTTCGTGTAGTGTGGCAGAAGCTAACCAATGCTTCAGAGGTTCTTGCTGCCTCCATCATCAGGGCGATCGCTCTGATGATGGAAGCAGCAAGGACCTCTGAAGAAAGAAGACAGAAAACCTTGTAATCAACACTGTAAAAACCTCAATGCATACTTAGCCTTAACGTTATTTAACGATGAATTTTCAACTACAGATACTTTAGTACCGAAAACATAGGAAAATGAACGGTAAGGTTCGTAAAGAGGCAATCGTGGTATATTTAAAAGAATTCTGATGGAGAGACTGAGGAAAAGCACAAAAGAGAAAAAAACCAATCAGGATGATCGTTCTTAGTGGCAACAATCGAAGACAGACTCGATCACAGCGATGACGGTCTAGATCCCTTGATTGTATTTATTTTCAGAAATGAGTTGCCGCATATTGGATTTCATCTGAATGCATCAGCTCTGAGGGGACAAATATAATATTTTCCCCATTCATATTAAAAATGAAGGAAACTTCAACAGATAACGGAGTTGTATTGGAAGAGCATTTAGTGAACTTCTACTTCTCTTCTCTCCGAGACTCGTCCCGGTTTAACCACCCTCCCGCCCCGACGTTAATGAAATTACGCCCCAACAGTTTTCCCTTTTGATCGATTAGTTCTTAATGGTTTTACCAATAAAAATATCGGGTCTCTTAGTAAAGCCTTCCATCTCTAGAAAGAAACCCATAGTTGGGGCATCCAAACAGTTGATCATATCCGGGCATTCTCTTCCTTTGGGAACAGTTGACACAGCAGGTATCTTAAATGAGCTCCTCGTACCTCGATACCATCAGAAATGGAATACGTGTTACACTATGTACAAATTCGAAAAATATTGCTAAGAAGAAATTCAGATTACATTAAAGTTGGAAAACTCTTGTTACTATCCACATAAACAAAAAAAATACTATCATCTTAGACGTTAAATTGAAATTGTGGATAAGTTTAGGCATTTATATGTTCGTAAGATTTGAGGTGTTCGCAGCGACGAGTCTGAAGATTGCATGTTCCCCTGCAGCTGAAGAAGAGGCATACAGATTTGCATTAAACTTGGCATGAGGTACAAAACTCCGGTTAAAGTCTCCGGAGTTCGATTTTCGCTAAATCGGATCACGAGCTCGGAAACTAAACAAAGCAAGAGAGCGGCGCCGACACAACGTTATTTGCTTCGAAGAGGAGATTATACGAACCAAAACTGTCTGGGTTCGAGTCCCGATGAATATAGTTACAATAGCTCGGAAGCTAAGCACGATGGAAAGGCGCAAAGAATAAAATTGTTTGTTTCGGCGAGGAAATTACAGGAACGAAGATCATAAACCCTAAAACTGTGCTGGGTTCCTGTCTCAGTAAAGACGGGTTTGGGGATAGGCTAATAATATTTCTATGACATTTAACGGTAAGTATAGAATGTTTACGCCCGTGATGAGCTTTTTGGCAATAAAGATTGATAATAAATGTAAGCATTTGTCGGAATTCCCTATATTAACACTGTGGGCACCCTAATAGTATTTTTATATGAGGCTCTATCGTTTGTGAAATGTTGTGTCTGTAACGGTTCCGAAGATCGCATGGTCTCCACGTTCTCCGCACTTCACTGCTAGCAGTTTCTGCATTAATAAGCACTTGGGAGTAGTCTAAGGCAGTGGTATTCAACCTTTTTTGTTCGCGTACCCCCAGATATACGAGGCGCGTCCCAAAAGTAAGTTTCCCTGGGGCCGTTTACAGAAACAAAACACAATTTCATGGAAATATTTATTGCAACAGATACAGCAAGT